CCTATAATTAAAATTTTTCATGTGACATATCACGTGACTGTTATATATTTATATAATAGTTACACAAATAATTGTGCAACATTTTTAGTGGATATATTTTATAACAAGTTGACCCCCCCGTAATTTTACTAACCCCTAGGTATTACTCGCGCAAATAAGTGGCTGCGGCTCGGCCGGCTAAGCCGGCTTAAATCACCTGGCATACATATGAACAACATTTGGGACCCCTGTAAAAAGACATGTTCTCACCATTAAGTCCTCCGTTACGCTCCGAACAAATTAAATACTGTAATTATAAAAAGTAACACCATAACGATAACAATTAAGTTATCCTTCTTCACCTTTCTTATTCAAATGAGTAAGCAACAACAGTTTACAAGACTTCCAACCGAGAGCGATTCGTCTTTCTCCCAAACACCTGCCATACCAATGCAAGTCATCACACCTCAAGCTCAAGTCCCTAGATTGAATATAAACGCTAGTGTCGATGCGCAGCCTCACGTTGTTCATTTCACTTCGTTATCTCCGATTCATAGAAGCTCGATTTCTGGTGTTGTCTCGGAAGAAGAATGGCCCCTAACTGAAATTCCGCAAGAATTAAGAGAAGCCAGTGGTACCTATGATTCATCCTCCGCGAATAATACTGAAGCAAATTCAATGCGTACAGATTGGAAAAGAAGCTTATTTTTATTATTGGAAGATCCTTCTTCGAGCAAAGCCGCGTTTACAGTCAACGTGTTTGTCTCCTTTTCAATCATATTAAGCGCTGTGTTGACTACCATTGAGACAATACCTTCATTTAGGTCGACTGCTAGTTCCGTTTGGTAAGTCCTAATATGATATATTAATTTTCTGAATTTTTTTCGTTGGAATTCATTAGATGTTATCTTATATTGTCTTAGGTTTAATTATGAAACCACTGTAGTCTTTATATTTACTATTGAATATATATTACGATTAATAGCACATTCTGATTCATTTAAACAGCTATGGAAATTTATAAAAGGTGGGGATTTCATTTAATAATTTATATTTCATTCATACGATTATACAAGATCTCGGGCGAGCGCAATTTTGAAAATTTTCAGAATGATTTCGTTTTTTTCAACCCGTGTACCGACATCACCGTTTTCTATGTGGACAATAGCTCCCCTTGCTGTTATAGATTTCATTGCAATTGCCCCGTATTACATAGAATTGGCTTTTCATCATGACACGGTAATGACACACATAATATGAATTTTTTATATGCATAAATTTATAAAGTATACTTATTTATTGTTTATTTTCGTATTTAGACCTATGACTTTCGTTTTACCATCCTTCGATTGTTCCGTCTTCTTCGTGTCTTTAAGGCATTCAAATACTCTTCAACGATTATAATGACCATTGAAGTAATGATTGTTGCAGTCAAAAGAAGCATGGACGCTCTAGGTGCATTATTCTTCTTTATGGTAACGAGTATCGTGCTATTTTCTACTTTGTTGTATTTCGCCGAGCGTGGTAAGTTATATTTTTTTTTTTGTTAATTTATTATATACACTAATCATATGCTATTTATCTAATATAAATATAATATAATATAATATAATGTATACTTTCTTCGTCAGGTACATGGGACCAGGAAAAGCAACAATTTGTCAATAGTAAAGGATTGCCGAGGTATATATCATTTCTGTGTTCGTAGTTAATATTTGTATGTATGCAGTACTAATTATCTAGCATATATTAGCACCTTTGATAGTATTCCCTCAGCATTTTGGTTTGTCATGGTAACTATAACCACTACAGGTTATGGTATGTTGATTTAGC